GACGACCGAGCCGGAGGCCGCGACGACCGAGCCGTCGATTTGGGCGTCGGCTGTCAGTCGCTTCTGGGAGCGAGTTGACGCCAGGGCGATGTCTCTAGAGGACTTGAAAACGGTGACGAACACCACAACAAACTGCGCCCTTAGGGAACCGATAGATATCGACCCTGACTGGTATCAAGTCAGGGCCTCAAAGTGGTGTCGAGACGGCAAAGGCCATTACACATGCACGCGAAAAAAACAAAACGGGAAGCAGCAGGCCTGTTTCGCTTTCGGTCAGCCCTACGGCTTCGACTCGTCGGCCGTCGTTCAAGGCATACACGACCACTGGAACCCCTCTAGCTGCACGGCCACCTGCCACCACCTCACCACCACCGCCAAACTCTGGCAGCGAGCGGTTTTACGAGAGTTCCGCAACGTCACCGCGACTGACTTGGACGTTCGCACACTGCCGGCCGCGGCTGATGAGGTGATGACCTACTACCCCATCCACCGGGAGTGCTCCGTGGACTGCGAAGGGTGTCTCAAAGACAATTTTGACCAAGTCCTAGAGTGCTTCTGCGACTACGTCGACATCCTTTGCAAAGAGAAGGAGGGTTGGCGGATACCCGTAACCAGTTCGGCCACTGGCTTTAACATGACCGTCCGCCAGCTCCTGGCACAGATGCGAGGCCCCCACAGGCCGAAAAGCTCCTCAGAACCAGCCCGGACCCACTTCTGTAGAGTTGAATGCCGAAGAGCACTGCAGTAACTTTAGCACACGCGTGTGTATCAAACACAAGGACACAATTCCAACCTGATGTTCTGCATACGGCGCGCAACGTTGCGACCAAAGCTGTTTTTTTGTGGCGAATAACAGTTGCTTAATCAATGAAGTCAATAGCTGCGTTGGAGTCATGGAGCATGGATGGGGCGGGGTTGATTGCGGCCCTACTGAGCCCTGACGGGACGCTCCCAAGTGTAGAAGGGTGTATTGCTCGGATGATCGGGATACGTTGCCCAAGTCAGGCAGTGGTTGTTCAGGCTGTGGCGATGGTCCCGAAGACAGAGACGCCGTCCTCCTTTGATTGGTTGCACGACGCCAATGGACTCCGGTTTTTGGGCTCGCTCGGATCTCGGCCAGTGGAGACTGCTGCCTGGTCGTCGGTGAGGAAGTTCGTGGAGGCTGTGGTCACGAGTGCGGAGAAGACCATATACAACGACGACCCAGAGGCGACTAAACGTAAGTTGATTGATGCTCTGGGGGTGCAGCTGTTTGGCAAACCTGGGTCGAAATTGCCGGTCGCGGACCCCGTGGATACGAGGACAGAGCTGGTGTTCTCGAGAGTCCTGACAAAGAGAGAGGCTGCTAAGGTTGCCAAACAAATGCCAGTCAAGTGGAGGCCTGCAATCTGGGCTTCAGCCAAATCGTACGACGAGGACAGGGTCGACGTCGAAGATGGGAGAGTGTACGAGTTGACTACCAGACGCAGAGGTCACCGTCGCAAATTCGTTGCGAAGGCTTCCTTGGCTGCTACGGTGGGCGGCGGCATCGCGGTCTACACCTTCTGGAAGTTGGCCACCTGGTTGCTCCTCAAGCAGGACCCCCCTATGAATGCAATCACGGGGACGGAGATGATGAGGGCGGGGAGACCGGTCCGCCGGTTTTGGGAGTTAGTGAACCAAACGGCGATGTCGGAGGCAGACCTGCAGTCGGTGGTGCGACCGGACCCGGAGGCCTGCAACGTACAAGGAACCAAACATTTCGATTTGGGGGGTGCCGGTAACGTTATTTGTGAGAGACCGGACGGCGAGCGAGGGTGTTTCGGCTTCGGGCCCCCCTACGGCTTTGACCTCATGGCTGTGCGCCAAGGCATTAACGATTACTGGAATCCGAAAGAATGTGGCATGACGTGCTACGATCCGGTCACGGCTGCCAAGGTGGTGGAACGCGCACTGGTGGAACGACTCGGTGCAGGTCTGCCAGGTCCGAACCTGAACATTACCGCATTGAACACGCAGTTGAACACGCAGTTGAACACGGAGGCTCTTATTGGCCTGAGGTCCGAGATACTCGGAGCGTACCCCCTGGACCCCGAGTGTTCAGTGGGCTGCGAGGGGTGTCTCGGAGACAGCTCTGAGGACGCCGTCAATCAACTACTCAAGTGCTATTGCGACTATGTCGGCGTCCGCTGCGATGGCGTCGGCAACGGAGACCTAAACACGCCCTTGGTCAGCTCAAATGCTGGCTTCGATACGACCGTCGGTGAGCTTCTGTCACAACTGCGCGGCCCTATAGAGTCGAAAAGAGTCGACTCCTGCGTGGTCGAATGCCGTCGAGCACAACAATAATTTTTAACTCATGCGCGTGTGCAATTGTTCGTACTGTATCCGCTTCGTCGATACGTTGTCTTGCGACATCTAATTATCGTGCTTAGGAAGCGAACTTGGTTCGAGGCAAGCTTCAGATTCGTATCGTGCTTTGTCCGAGGCGATGGTTCGAGGCACAGCGATGTCTTATCCATAGACTTGGGATGTGGGGGATCGATGGGAATTTAAGAGATTTAGTATTCATGTTTTTCGTCTGCGGGGAATCGAACCCAGTCGGTGTGCTATTACTATTCACCTCAAATCCGATGTCTTTGTGAATCATTGTTGACCGGTCGGATACAGAGAGAGTCAACAAAGGGAGGTAGTGTGAGAGGCTGCCTGATTTTCGCCTACTATCCCCGCGGGGCGCATCAGTGCCGCGGTGGCTCAGATTCACAATTGAACGAGTTGCGAGTTGCAGTAGGCGACCAATAGTCCTCACAAAGGGCCCGACTGGCCTGGTCCAATCTCATTGGATCGCCAAGTGCGCACTGCTTGGTCGAGACGTGCTCCGGGAGCTACCCCTTCGTCGCTTCTGAGACATTGAGTAGGCGTCGCTACTTGCTTCGATTTATGTTACACAGAGCGCGACACAACTGCGACTTAGAGCGCGATGTACCCCCCAGATCTGCAGTCAGGCGTCACTTTGTGTGACGCCTGACTGCATCTCTTCCGAATAATTGGACTGTTGGTGTTGGTGAGGAAAAGCGGTAGAAATTGAATGAAGTCCGCACACCCTTCAAACATCTGAGACATAACATTAACTAACGCATTCCTTTCTTTGGAAGGGAGACAAAGAGAGTTTTGAAATGACTAGAAATGAGAAACCATGCCGTTCTGTTTTTGTTATCTCTTCTTGGCTGATGGTGTGTTAAGCGCCGTTACGTTACGCTCCGAGCACTCGAGCGCGGAGTGGACCAAGAGTCAAGAGGAACCGCCCGGGAATGCGCGTGGACTAACATGAGTCGCACGGCGCATTAGTGGGCGTGAAAGCTCGCGGTGGGCGGACATGTAGTCGTACCAGAGCGGGAAGTGAGATCCGCAGGTCGTGCGTCAAGGTTGCCGTCCGTGGCAGCTGGCCGTCAGGACCGGTCAGCTGTTTGAGATGAAATTGGTGTCCTGCCGTTGGCTTTTTATGGGTCAAGAGGCTTTTCACGAACGGGTAGTCCATTCAGCCCGCAGACCCGAATTCACCTCACCTCAGCTAAGACCAAACGTTTCGTTTGGGTGGAATTGACATTAAAAATTTTGGTGAGTGAATTGCTTCGAATGAAGTCAGCGGCGGCACTGGGGTCAAGTAAGGTGGATGGGGCGGGGTTGATTGCAGCTCTTGTCAACCCCGATGGGGCTCTCCCAAGCGTTGAAGGATGTACTGCTCGAATGATCGGGTTATGTTGCCCGAGCCAGCCCGATCTAGTTGTTAAGGCAGTGGCGATGGTCCCGGAGAAGCTGGCTGAGTCACCGTCCTTTGACTGGTTGCACGACGCGAATGGAATCAGGTTTTTGCCGTCGACCGGATCCTGGTCAGTGCAGATAGCGGTTTGGAAATCAGCGCGGAAGTTCGTGGAGGCTCTGGTCACGAGAGGGGGGAAGACCATGTACAACGACGACCCGGAGGCGACTACACGTGAGTTGATTGATGCCCTGGGGGTGCAGCTGTTTGGCACACCTGGGTCGAACTTGCCGGTGGCGGATTCCGTGGAGGCAAGGACTGAGCTGGTATTCTCGAGAGCCCTGACGAATATAGAGGCTGCCAAGGTAGCGAAGGACATGCCCGTCAAGTGGAGGCCTGCAATCCGGGCTTCAGCCAAATCATTCGACGAGATCGACGTCGAAGATGGGAGAACGTACGAGTTAACTAGCAGACGCGGAGGTCACCCTTGCAAGTTCGTTGCGGCGGCTTCCGTGGCTGCTGCGTTGGGCAGCGGCATCGCGGTTTACGCCATCTGGAAGTTAGTCGCGGGGTTGCTCGAGCAGCACCAGCAGCACGCAATTTTT